AATGTAAAAGGAAATAAAAGATAGAAAAGGAAATAATAAAATATTACTACGTATAAAATAAAACATCTAGCATCTTTTCAATCACTAGAAAAAGATCCACTTCTCACAAAAAATAAATTTATAGTTGATTAGGATTTATAATATCACATAACATATTAAAAGAAAACTAGCTAGATGAGTTAGTGGTGCAAATGTTGTTATATTCACAATTTTATTCAAATGAATCATGTAAAAATATAAATGTAATTTTCTATTGTAATTGTCAAATATCTTTTTATATAAGTAGAGTACAAAATATAACAAATACAAATATGCCATATTAGCTAACTCAGTCATAATGAATGTATGAAATCTGAAAAAGTTAAAATGATAGATGCTAAATTTGTATTTTTCATGTCTAAACTATTTATTTATATCCTAAAGATGAAGAGTGAAGAAAAATACAAAGTATATATATATATATATATATATATATATATATATATATATATATATATATATATATATATATATATATATATATATATATATTACAAGTTGTTCGGTGTTCAGTTTGGTTTACGGTGTTTCGGTTTTAAACCAAACCAAACCAAACCATTCGATTTGAGCAAATTGCTACCAAACGGTTTACTTAAGCAAAACCAAACCAAACCACCAATTTTCAGTTCGGTTCGGTCAAACCAAACCATTTTTGCCCAACCCTATTGAGCGGTGTAGGTGAGATGGGTCATTGGCGGTGTGGGTGGTGGGTCATTGGTGGTGTTCATCATGAATAGTGGTCACTGGAGCGGTGATCCCATCGTGGTCACTGACTGACGTGATCACTGTGACTGGCGTTGGTAAATATGACTGACAGTGGTAATTGAGGCATTCACTACTACAGAAATGACATACCACGTCTCACATTTGACGTCGGTTCTTCAGAAATCGTCGTTATTAAGTGCATTTACGTCGGGTTTTAATAAAACCGACGTTGTTGATCAATTTGTAAAAAATAATTATTACTATTAACAACGGTTTATGTGAAAACAGCCTAGGTAGGTGGTTCGTTTTTTATACCGGGCATTTATATTTTTACTTATACGTCTGTTTGTGACTAACCTTCGAGAAGGAATAGACCCCTTTTTATTTAGCAGGTGAAATGTACGAAGTATTTACTCGAATCGGTCGATTGGCTATTCATCTCTGAGTGAACCTCATCTGCGAAACCGTTTCTGCACGAACATCCTTGGCTTTCTGCGCGAATCTGCTCAGCGAAATAATCTCTACGGAAACCTCCTCGCCCAAATCGTCTCTGCGCATATCTCCTTTGTCAAAACTTCGCTGCGCAGACCTCCTTAGCATACACAGGTAAGATTTTGTTCTCTATTCAATTTGTTGATCCGCCATCTTCCTCTTATAATTAATAAGCTTCTCGGAGATAATTAAGACAATTGCTTTACTTGCAGCCGCTCCAGCCGCACGATTTCGTCATCCTGTGTATTTTCTGCCATTTATTTTTATGCGATTGAACTTCTTGAGAAATTTTTAGTGTATTTTCAAAATAAAATTTTCGAAATTTAGGTTTATGTTTAAGATTATGATGGCTCATCACAGTACCATCCAGAATTAGGTTTTTGTGATTGAACCTTTTCTTTCTTATTTCTCCTTTTGTTTAAGTTAATATCTTATGCCCCAATCACCTAGGTGTTTTGTAAAATTGAAAAAAATTAGGGATGCCTTATTACCTTATTTGGGAATGGTCCAGATCCTTCTGCTTGGCATCATCTTCCTTTTCCTCTTCTTCTGTAGTGTTTAAAGTTTGAGGATTTTAATTGCATGACTATTTTGTGTGAAAATAGGCTTTGTATTAAAGCAGCTTCACTGACTTGTTACTCTTTTGAACTTCCAACATTCTGTTAGGAACATTTACCAATATTTTGTTGAAGTGCGTGAATGTTATTTCTAGTCTTTGAATTTATATTTACCTTTACATGTCAATAGCTTGCAAGAGGCCGGAGTTGCAGGCTTGCAGCCCTTGGCATCAAATAGATTTGTAACTCTGTTGACTCCTTATGGTTCAAGTATGTCCAAGTTATCTACATAAAAATCAATTGGGTCTCATTCACTTGCTTTGCATTTATGAGTTTTGACCTGAACTAAAAATTTAGTTTTGTTGAATCTATTTTTAACTTTTCTGAATTTTAACCTTCCCTCAACATCCAGAATCTATTTTTAACTTTTCTGAATTTTCTGAATTTAGTCTTGACTCTTGAAAGTTGCACTCAAACTTCCTCTGTTCCTGAATTAGCTCATATAAAAAATTCTCCAGAGCTCTAGAAAAATGAATCATCACATGATTGTAAGGTTTGCTTTCCTCTCTTTAACATATGATAATATAGTTTCATGGTATAATAATTGGGAACATGATATATGTTTTCTTATTCTATATTGAAACTTGTTTCCTCTGTTACAGGTTATAAGTAATGGTCTACAAGAATGAGGTCTTCGATTTTTACAGGTTTTCATTTGGATTGTTGATATTTAGGGATTTTCCCTAATTTCTCTAATATTGAGTATTGTTCTGCATATTTGTCTAATCGGAAACTCAGTCTATGTTCATCACTCTCAATGAACGGCTGTTCTTTAATTTTTCAGATTTTCAAGCAATCATTAGTCTGAGAAGCTTTCTTGGGCTAATTTCTTATTTTTGAATAGAATCTACTAGATTTTTGAGCTCGTATGTCATGTATCATTTTTTATATAAAACTGTTCCTCTCCAATAGTGTTTATCATCTCATTTCGAAATACATATGGACTACTTACTGCCATGTCTTAAGTATAGTAAGAAATTCCTTTGACTTAGAGAAACTGTTGCGTAGATTATACCTCTTTTTATTTATAAAAGTCTTTCAACTGTTTGCAGGGAGATAAGTGGACTAAAATCAGAAATAGACGTTCAATTCGTGATGACATTATCCCTAAATTTAAACAGTTTTAGCGAGGTATATATACTACAACTGAATATTTCTTTGGGTTTCTCCAATATGCATAATGTATTTATTGTATTTAATTTGTTTATCATTAATGATATAGGTACATTGGTAATTGTAAGGTTTTTATACCCTAGTTATTGTGTTACAAATAGGTGTAATCACCTAAGATACAAATTTACGATAACCCTTGTATTGTACTAATTATTCTTTTATGGCAGGATTGGTTTATTATGAGGAAGAAGATAAGATGTTAGTTTGTTTTCACCTAATTATAATGTTATGATATTTATTTCGAGGCTACCCTAGCACAGTTCATCAACACTAATGCTTAGTAATCAATGTTGTTTTTGTTGGAGCATTTCATATAGATATTTTAAGCTACTCTCAATGCACCCATTGAGTTTGTTTTTATTGAATAATATATTTCTGTACTTTTTAGTCTTGGATTGTTTTTCCTATCTCTTATCATTAATGTATCTTTTGGCCTCCTGGTTGCAGGTAGAAAGGTAACTTCCCTTATAAGAACTTGTATGTGATATGTTGCAAGCTTTGGGAGCTAAATACAGTTCATGATTTTGGGAGCTATATACAGTTCATGATTTTCTAATTGATAAATACAACCTTATCAGATGTGGTAACCATTCACTTACATGACATATTGTTGAGAGAATCTCATGTTTGTGCTTCCACTGTATTGCTTGAGTTGATCTGATTGCCCTTCTGAGCATATCAAGCCATGACAATTATTTATTTTAATTTTTTGCCAGATTTCAAGAAAGTTCAGCAGTGTCATATTGAAAGAAAGATGGATTATGATGATACTCCGTACTGTCTATTTCCTACATGTTAGAGGAGTAGTTATCATAGGATTCATAGCTATGGTCATCGGTATTTGTAAACAAATAATTATAGTTATGTCATCATTGTATTTTTAATATGGATGTGTATTTTTGTTACATGGCTAGTTGCTATCTAAAATAACATTGGATTCATAATTCTGTATCTTTACCCAACATTAAAATAAGGACTACCCCTAAAATAACGTCGACTTTTTTTTAAAAAAAACTCAAACATATAACGTCGGTTGCAATATATAACCGCCATTGTACAATTTAGTAATTTTCATCAAAATTGATCAAAGTCGGCTTTCGATAGAAACAGGCGTGGTATGATATTTTGAAAACATGACTACTTATAACGTCGGTTTTACACAATACCCGTCGTAGTATGTCTTTTTTCAATTTTTATAAATTACTTTTAACGTCGGTTTTAAAACCGATGTTATATGTCTTCACTTATAACGTCTCCTACTTAGACGTCACTTCCAAAACCGACGTTAAAAGATAAAATTAACCGACGTTGAAGTGAGTTTATTAGTTAACAGTGTCGTAGTCCTCATAGCTATTTTTAGTTTCATTTTTGGAAATTTAAAGGTCTCTTTATTGTCCAATAGTTATTTTTAGTATAATTTTTGTCTTAATTTCTAAATATTTTGGTTGAATGCTAAGATACACAATTAAAGGTGAAATATAACAAAATTCAAATCTTCGATTGAAAATGATTTGAATAAATTATTACAAAACATTCACACGAGTGGAGCAATGAAAACGAGACATAGGCAATTGAATTTAGATCATATGGATCCACATGAATATAAGGCATTTAAGAATTTAAGAATTGGATATACGATAGAATAGTTTTGTCACCGCCTTGAAATATGTCATGTTTGGTTAATATTGTTCGCTTGATATTTTCCTGATTTTAAGAAGATGATGGCTATTCAGCTTGGAATCTAGGACAATTACTCGGTTTGAAGTACTTATGCATTGCTCTTATCTTGAAGGGTCCTATTTGCGATGTGTATGTAGGCTGTTTCAACATTACAAATTTCATACATATTCAAAGCCTAATCAATATGTTTCTATTAAATGCGAGTCTTTTTATTTAAGTAGTAGACACGACGTTTGCCATGATGAGCTTGATTGTATCCATTGAATCGCACCTACATAATATATAAATATATACGTGGTAACGAATTTCATTTTGAAAATTACATCACTTCAAAGCATTTTTAGCTTTTTTGGATAGAATAAAATCAATTGCTATTAATCAAATCATTATTCAATACATCCGTAAAAAAAGTGAGGGAACAGAAAAACAAACTCGACTTTCAGACCAAGAACCCGCTGCCCTTGCCATGGCATGAACCACCCGGTTTGCTGAACGTCTAACATGAGAATAAATAATACTCCCTTTGCCCCCCTATAATTGTCCCATTTTTCATTTTTGGATGTCCCTTTATTATTGTCTCATTCTATATTTGGTAACATTTGTGTGGCTCTAATTCATCCTTACTTTATTTCCACTTTATCAACTTATTACCAACCACATAATTCTACTTTTCTTAAAAACAACACCACTCCCTTCCGTACCAATAGTAGGGGAACGGAGGGAGTACTAACAAAGTTAGCCATCAAGTCTCTTATATCTTCTGCCAGAACACTCGAATAGGAAGACCCGGAACCATTTCGAATTTCAATGATAGCTAAAAGGGAATCAGATTCCACATCAATGAAATCCCATTGTTGTTCCTTTAGCCAACTGAGAACCTCCCTTAAGCCCATCAGCTCAGCTTCATACGGAGACAACTGACCCCTTCGTATTATGCTTCCTCCTGCAACAAAAGAGCCAGAGCAGTCGCGAACAACCCAGCCAAAACCGCAGCTCTCTCCTCCGATCGAAGCATCAACATTGATCTTCCTCTGCCCTTCAACCGGTCGCTGCCACTTGCAGATAACCTCGCCAGATATGCTTCCAGACCTACAGATAATCTGCAGATAAATTCGGGTTTTCTGCATCACTTGCGATCCATCCGTCTGAACCCTGCACCAGACTCTTTGGTTCCTTTCATTCCACAAGCCCCAACACCCAGAAACGATAATCTCCATTTCCTCCGGCTTAAGCACTCTGCTCACACATTCAAGCCAATCTAAAAAGTTATGGGCTGATTGACCCGCCTTCGTCCAACTAGCTGCACCCCACGCCGTTCTAGCTACCGTACATTTGAAAAAAAGATGAAATGGGGATTCATCTTCCTCACCACATAAGCCACATCGAATCTCACAGTCAACTCCTCTTGACTTCAAGTTATTCATTGTTGGAAGACATCCACAACATACCTGCCGGTAAAAAAACTTAATTTTAGGGGGTAAATTGAGATGCCACATAGATGTCCAGCCCGTCCATTCGACCAAAGTTATTTCTCCAACAATCCTCCGGTAGCAACTTCTAACTGTGAAGCATCTATTCTCCTCTCCTGCCCAAATCATTCTATCAGGAACCACCCTATTGCTCAATGGAATCCTTCTGATAAGATCAATATCCCTATCATTAAACAAATCCTTCAGAATATCCTCATCCCAAACATCTCTTCTCGAGTTCAGTAATCCAGCCACCAGTGCCTCCTCCAAACCTTGAAAACAGTCTGATAAAATTAAAGGGTTGATTTTGTCAGGTAGCCAAGGATCGCGCCAGATATTAATGAATTCCCCATCACCGACCCGCCATCTAACCCCCTTCCGAATAATATCTTGAACTTCAACAAGGCTCCTCCATATAAAAGAGGGCTTATTGCCCAATGAAGTTGTGAGGTAGGACTGCCCAGGGTAGTAACGAGCTTGAAAAATCCGTCTAGCCAAAGAATCAGGCTCTGTTAACAACTTCCAGCCCTGTTTTGCCAGCATGGCCTTGTTAAAGTCCCTGATTTTCCTAAACCCCAATCCACCTCCTAATTTTTTTGGTCTACATAAATAATCCCAACTTCTCCATCTAATACCTTTGCCGCCATTACCGTTCCACCAATAGCCGTTCATAATGACATCTACCTCCCGACATAAATCCACGAGTAGAAGAAAGACGTTCATAGCAAATGTTGGCATGGCCCTGAATCACGGTTTTCGGGAGTACCTCCTGTCCTGCTTTAGATAAAAATCTATTATTCCAATTTTGGATTCGTTTAAGAACCCTACCCCTCATATAGCCAAGAATCTCCCTTTCACTTCTTCCAAAGAGGGCTGGCAGCCCCAAGTATTTCTCCTCCTCCCCAACAGAACCAACTCCCAACATTTCTATCAGGCCCTCCTTAACGCCATCTGCAACATTTGCGCTAAAGAAGAGTTTTGATTTATTAAAATTATATTAATAACTTGCCCAGAAGCTGACTCATACGCTTGTAAAATATTACGAATGGTAGATCCTTCGTTGTGAAAAGCTTGAAAAAACAGTAAGCTATCATTAGCGAATAAAATGTGTGATATCCTCGATAGGAGTGGGCACGGTTGGTTAACCGCATTTCGGTTAACCATTTTTTGGTTAACCGTGGTTTCGGTTAATATGTAAATTATATCATTAACCGTACCGTAACTTCGGTTAACCGGATAACATGTAACCGTAATATAGGTTAACCATTAATTGGTTAACCAAAAAACCGTTTAAACGATGAAAGATATGCCAACATTTGCTCATCCAATTTTCTCCCAGAGATTCGCTCTCCCGTGAGAATCGAATTTAGGGATCCTGTTGATATTATTGAAATGCTCCGTATAAAACAAACCAGTGTAGAAGGTATTGGCATGTACTCCGTATTAATTATGCCTTATGGAAATTTAATTAATTAATCAACCAATAATAACAACAATATAGCTCCAATCCCAATGATATTAAATTATTAACACACGTGTTCCCAGTACGAAACCATACTCACGTAATACTTTGACCGTGCAATTAGTTTAGAAATAATATTTTAACTTTGCATTATCGGTTAACCGGTGGTAGTTTTATTTCATAACCGTAACTGCGACATGTATCATTTTTTTCTTTCGGTTGGTTAACCGTACCCAATATTTTTTGGGACTAAGGCTTGGATGTTGTTGTTGTTGTTGTTGTTGTTGGTTAACCGTACCGCGAATTTTTAAAAACACGGTATGGTTAACCGAAAAAACACCGGTTTTTCGGTTATTTTGTACGGTTAGTCGGTTACGGGTTTTTATGCCCACCCCTAATCCTCGGGGCCCTCGTAGCCACCGCCACCCCATGAATCAAACCACAAGCCTACGAATAAGAGCACTTAAACCTTCCGCCACAATGAGAAAATGATATGGAGTATGTATGTTAAGAAATACATATAAAGATTAAGGATTACACTTTCGTCCTTTCTATTAAGTTACAATATATTGAGTTTTACACTACTCGATCACATGTTATACTCTAACTACATTTTATTTATCATTGTATACGTTTTTTTGAAAATATTGTCAAATTAGTCTCATTAAATTTTTTTAAAAGCTGTGTTTTACTAATTGAAAATTAAATTTATTAACATTCAAAGTTGTGCGTTGGCACCCCCCTCCTCCCCCCGGATGAACTCTACATAATTAGAAGTTCAAGTAGGAAGAATGTCTATTACAAACTAATTAATCACACTCAAATATAATTTCATATTTGTTTAATGATTATTATTCATTATCATATACTCGGTGTATAAACTCAGTATAGTAATGCATATACTCAAGTATTGATTTTTAACCATTGTATATGTTTGCATGCAGAGTCCAACTAATAAGCACACAATGTGGACATTGTTTATAATTGATTAATTAAATATTATAACACAAAAGTATAATTTATTTGTTAAAATATACTCCGTATAAGCATTTGGACATTTCAATAATTAAATAATGACTGTAAAAATAATGTTAATGGTAGCCAACTCTGATCAATAATATTTTTTAATACACTACTATTTCGAATATGAGAATTATAATAAATTGTTCCTTATTAAAAATATTTTCATATAACCATGAAATTTATAAATTATACAAAAATATAATAATTAAAATCACTATTCAAATTTTGTCATTATTGACCCAAAAAAGTCAACTATAGCAAATACATTTTGCTTCTATTTATGAAATTTGTTTAGAAATAAGCGCATGAAACCAAATACCTTTTGATTTGATATCATTGTTGTAATACTTCAAAACAGAAGATAAATAGTTCAAATCTCATCCCAATCATTAATGACTATTAGATCATTGGACTTATACTACATGTAATATTCACAATATATTATTTATCGGGTTGAATTGTATGTTATTTGCTATCTTATATTTAGGCCCAAAAATTAGTGGTCCTATGCATATTAATTTAAGTGGGCTAATAAGTTATCTAATAAGGTATAGGACCCAAATGTGTAGAGACCCATGGGCTTGACCTAATCAATGATGGGTTGATTAAGGTTAAGCACTCTCTATAAATAAGGGGTTATGGTCCCTAGTTGAACACGTCATTCCGTCTTTCTGCATCCCATCGCTAGAGAGATAATCCCGAGGGTGTGTATCAACCAGAAGACGCAAACCCTAGCCTCCGTCTCCCGGATCTCTAAAGGTTATCTCCAATGGCGTCAGGTACGCTTCCGCTCAGTTAATTCTCTAGATAATTTCAATATGAAGATTAAAGTATTCATGGATTTATTCCAACAATTGGTATCAGAGCCTCCTTCATATTGAATTATTTGGAGCTAGTATTATCTACCGATTTATTGAAATAAGGGTAATGCGATTTTGCTTTTATGCAATTCGTTCTTGATATATTCACATATCAGATCGGTAGTTAATCATTAAGCAAAACGATTGGATTTTGCTAATCTGACTGATGGATAGTGTACCCGGGGGTAGCTTATCCGAGGGGTTATTAAGAGAGAAGTCAGAGCAAATGAGTATTGAGAGAGAAAGTATATTAGCAAGTATTCAGCGTGTTGTGTCTTGGTTACAAATGGGGAGATGGGGTGCTGTTTATAGTAGCAATAAATGTCGGACAGGGACACGTGTCAAGCGTCCATTGGCCGAGAGGTCACCTCAACTAGTTGGCGCTAGCAACCGCATGTGGCCGCATTTAGTGCGGCTGTTGGATGGGATGTTGTACAGGGTACGGTGATCCATACGCATGTGGAGCCGATATTATGTCGGAAAAGGTGCCCTCGGCAGTATATGACTAGCCGAGGGCTCTGAGTACCGGGGACCCCCTTAGTGCCGAGGGCTCCAGTTGCCGAGGGCTATTGATTTTCGCCGTTTTTCCCAGTAACTTTGTTTTCCCGTCTTGGCCCTTCTGTGAGAATTAGAGCCTTCGGCCAAGGGGCCGAAGGCACCCCTGGTGGGTTGCTTGGTACTCTGGGCGCCGTGATTTGGGCCTGTTGTGCTTTCTGGGCCTGTTGGGCCTTTATTGGAGTAGTAGGAGTCTGTGGGCCGGGGGTTCCCGGGCCATATACTCCATCAGGAGTCCCTAATTCCTTTTGCCGAAAGGTACTTTAGGGAAAAGGAGTAATTGTGTTTGTCCTCTGCCGTTGTTCTGCTGTAGTTTGTGGTGTTGTGGGTAGTTTGCTGTTTGTTTATTCTGCCGAGGGCAGTCCCTCAGTTACCCACATGTCGGGACTTGAGGGGTCATGTTTGTGATTTTTGTGATTTTTCCCGAGGGGGTTCTCCAGTCCCCCACTCCTTGAGGCACTTGTAAAGTGGTGAAAAGGAGTAGAGTAGTTGCGTTGCTGTTTTGGGCCGAAGGCTGACGCTTTTCGTTTCATTTTGGGGGGATGCCTCGTTAAAAACCTCATTAGGAAAAACCCTGTGGGAAAAAATCCTAATGAGGGAAAAAGAGTGCACCGAATTCCCCAACGATGAATCCAAAATGTGAAGCCCTGGTTCGAAATGGAGAATGATGCTGATGCCGAAGGCTTTCCTTGTTCTGAGGGCTCATGCGTTGATTATCCGGAGGCTTGCTGTCGATATCCTGGGAGGTGCCGAAGGGGAGTCCCTCAATCTGGGGATCGAGGGCGTCATGAATGTGACTAGCAGTTGGATTGTTACCGGGGTGTTCCCTGTTTGTTGTTCAGTTGGTGAGGAGGGTACCCGAGGGCTCCCATTACTTGTGTGCCGTAGACTACCTGTTAGTGAGGCGTATTCCCCGGGGGCTACCCGGCCCTCAAAGTGCTGAGGGGGGATCCCCGAGGGGTGGCCTGATATGAAGCTGTGAGCTTCTGAAGGAGCGAGCCCGAAGGCATTTGTTATGTAGTGCGTGGGGCACAACCCGGGAGCGTCTCTGGGTAAGTATACCCGGAGGCTCTTCTTGATGAAGTGGAGTGAAGTAAAAAGCCTGGGGGCTAGTTTCTCGGTTGATGAAGGAGTGGTCTGTCAAGTGTAGCCGGGAGCTCCCAGAATATAGCCGTTGGAGATATAGTCATTGGAATATCTAACGTCAGAATATAGTCGTTGAGGGGGGGGGGGGGCTGCCACGTGGTGTGTGCTCGTTGGCTGCCCGTGGGTGGGGGTCACCGATTGGGCGAAACCACGGTTTGTAATGATGGCAGTTCAACCGGAGGCCCGGTTTCCAGGCCCAAGCCCGGATCCAGACGCCTATAAATACCCCATGGTCGGACACCACTCCTCCTGTGCGATCATTTGTTAGCGAAGCTCTGCCGGATTTTTTCTAGAGAGAGAAACACTTCCCTCGATCTAACTCCTGCTTTAAGGTCAGTTCCCCATTTGTTCTTCTCCCTCCTTAGCTAGCTGTAGCGGCCTTAGATCTAGGAGTTGTAACTTAGAACACTTAGTGTTTCCGAGCCCTCGACCCAGTGGAAAGATGTCTTCCCAAAGTGACTCTCAAGACATATCGAGGGATCTATCGGTGGAGGAGGAGAGCTTCTCGGATGCGGGGTCCTCTAGCGAGCAACCCTCGGCCCAGGAGGATGTCGCGATGGCGATGGAGGTGCAGAAGGAGTTGGTAGCTGAAGTTGAAGCTGAGGGCTTCGAGCAAGAGGCGGAGGATGAAGAGCTTGCCCTCGTCGTACAAGTCGCAGAGGAGGAGGAAGAGAGGGAGAGGATGAGGGTGACAATGGCTGTCCTTCCCCCTCGGGGTGCTGGTGAGGCAGGGAGCTCTCAGCCCCTCAACCCGACGCCGATAAGAGTGGCCCCCGGGAAAAAACAGGAGAAGAAGAAAACTGCTCCCAAGAAGAAGTGCGTTGTTGCTGATCAAGGGAAGCCCATAGATGTGCCCGAGGGGTACTCCTGGCTGAATACTGCTGCCCTTGAGATAGGGTCGAAGGCTGACAGGGAAGATATGTACGTGACTCAGCTGCACGTGGGGCCTTCGGCTGTGGTGGTGG